TATACTATAAGTATATAATAGTATATACTCATTTAAAAAAGAAAAAAAAGGATAGTCTGCAGTTCTCTACAAGCTAAAGGGTTAAAAACTCTGCTCTGATATGGTTTACTTAATCAAAGAGCTCAAACTCTTAAAATGTAGGTATAATTTAAAAAGCATGTAATTAGTTACACTGTCTTGGGGGAATAGGCACTTCCTGTTCCTGCTGCCTTTTTGGCTCCTTAATGTTCCCTGTCATATAATGTCATATAATGCAACTAATGAAATACGGGCTTTGAATTGTAGGAAATTCAACAGCAGAGGGCAGCACAGAAGCTCACCTTTGCTTTCAATCAAATGAAGCCTAAATCCATTCCATACTCTCCAAGGTGAGTGTATTTAAACTTCCATTGCGTTGCATGCTTTTGACATAGAAGAATGCCTAGAGGGTTGTTAACAGATGGATCAAATATATTAAGGTACTGATACGTGAATATACGGCTCAGAACATTACTGTGAATGTGTCAAACAGAATTATCCTTGGCAGTATTTTCTGTTGATACTTTTTGCACCGATTCTAGCCTAGTGTGATAATATAAATGACTTTATGTAATAGTTTCAAATTATTTAAAGTATTAGTAAAGCAAATAAAAATTCAGTAGTGATGATATATTTGCCATTTATTTTGGAAATATATTCATTAAATATGCTTTTCACTAGGTTCCTGGAAGTTTTCCTGTTATACTGCCACTCTGCTGGTCAGTGGTTTGCAGTTGAAGAGTGCATGACTGGAGAGTTTAGAAAATATAACAACAATAATGGTGATGAAATAATTCCAACTAACATGCTAGAGGAGGTTATGCTAGCTTTCAGCCATTGGACGTATGAGTATACAAGAGGAGAATTGTTGGTACTAGATCTGCAAGGTAATGTCCTTATTTTGAAATTGGGATTGGGGCCAAGATAGATGTATGTGGGTTTTTCTCTTGTGATAGCATTTTATTAAGAATTTTTATGCCTGTAATAAATAACAAGCATTATTTAGTGCATCTAAATAATTTGTCTAGTTAATCTGAACCTATGGTTGTCTTACTTAAAATGGCATTAAATCTTACAGAAAAACAGAGAATATAAATATATACATCTTTTCCTAATGATATGCACCATAAAAAATTCTATTTTTTGGCACATTTGTGTAGTGCCAATATGGTAAGCTGTATTTATCCTGAATTGTGTGTCAGATATTCTGGCTGTGAGAACTATATAGGAAACTTCTTTCACACAGGTGAAAACTAAAGTTAGGAATTGCAGGCAGATGTAAAAATAGGCGGAAGAAAGAAATCTGAGAAGTACAAAGTGCTTGTTTAGGAGCAATTTTTGTAAGGGTAAAGAGTATCACATATCACTTGGGTTGGTTGTTTTTTTCTTTTTTTTTTTTCCTGCTTTTATTCTTGGGGAAGCTGAGAAGTCATAGCTAAGGATGCCAAGGCTTTTCAATATTAATGCATTTATGTAACGTATCAGATTTAATTTTTTCTTCATGTGCTGTCCGTAGGTGTTGGTGAAAATTTGACAGATCCCTCTGTGATAAAAGCTGGAGAAAAAAGGTAAGGTTAAAGAAGGATTTAAAGAAAAGTATTACAAAATTTTCACCAGAGAACACATGCAACCCATGTTTATGTGCACTTTTTTCCTGAGGTCATATGATATGGTGTTTGGTCCGGCCAATTTGGGAGAGGATGCAATAAAAAACTTCAGAGCGAAGCATCACAAAAAAAGCTGCAGGAAACTTAAACTTCCTGGTAAGAATTGCTGTATTTCTTCTGAGACACTCATGTCATGAAATGTTATATGATATGGAATGAAATAGTTATGTCATGCTGTGAAAGCGGAGTAAGTAATAAGCAGCGGTTTTGTAATTTGACTTTTAAAACAATATGCCATTTTAAGATAAAATTCTAAATGAAGGAATTAAGAATGTCTGTGTGTTCTGTATCCATATGCACAGTATTTGAGGAAGGTAGACTAGGTTGATCTAGACTTCAGAAGGTACAGTAAAAAATGATAAAGACTCCTAGAAAAAGTAGGAAAAGCAGGTCAAGGTGACTGCAAACCTTCAGGCTTTTTAAACAAAATGGTGCTTGTGTTTGTTTTGAGACTGGGTTTTTTGGGGGGCGTGGTGTTTTGTTTTTTTTTATTTGAGGTATTTGTTTCTTTGCTGTTTGGTTTTTTTGTTTGTTTGTTTTTAAAAACATGTCCAGGTCTGCAGAAATTCATTCTGTTAAAAACTTTCAATTCTAGATATTTTTGCTGCATGGACTACACTACACTCATCTCAAGCCTTGAAATTGTTTCTCTGTATCAGGCTTTTAGACTCCAGCAGCACAACATAAGGAACTTGGATGATTCCTGCCTGTTTCACACATCCAGGTTGCTTCTTACATGAAGAGAGGTCATTTATTTTAGGTTTGAGTTGTAAATCCTGGTAACATCAAAACAGATCATGGAAGGATCCAATTTCCATGGAAATTTGACTCAATACTTGCTATAATATCTTTAAATAAAATAATTCTGAGGTTTCCATCACTACTTAAAGCAGAGCTTTAGGCTTCTGATTCCATGTATGATAAAAACATCCTTTTTTGACATAGTGCATATTGAGGAATTCTTCTTTATAAGTACATATGCATACCCAATTCTTTGAAAGACTTTTATGCCCCATTGATTCTACTAGCTCAAGAAATAGTAATCAATATGACTTCATTTTGTTTGTACAGATCTGAAGAGGAATGATTACACACCTGACAAGATCATATTTCCTCAGGATGATTCCCCTGAATTGACAATTCAGCCTGGAAGCTGCACCAAAGAATCCGATTCAGCTAATTCTATTCGTCTGATGCTCTAATGATGTGACCAAATCAGTGGCTTCATCCAGACTTCATGGAATGTCACAAAGTTGTCACTTATCTTTCCTTCACTATAATTAGAAGAAAGATATGTCAAAACAAGGATTGCTGTCTAAGTGGAATTTTGGCTGGTCCATAATCTAAGGACCTAACAACTTGTGATAACCATCTACAGAGAAGAAGCTTGGCGGCTGATCATTTTAAAGGTTACATAAAGACAAGTATTTAAGATATGTTTTTAAAGGGGCTTTTTAGCAGAAGGTTTATTTTTTATTTTGTTTTGGTTTAGTGGAGGATTTTCTCTCTGTAGTCCTGTGGTGTGCAATATGCCTTCAACCAAAAGGATTTTGGTAGTTGATGTTTTAAGGTAAAGCATTTATCTGTTTGGCAGCTGTCTTACTGTCAATCAGCAAAAAACAGGAGAAAGCACCTACCTCTGTAATGCCAGAGTATACTTTGAGTGTTTTTGGAAGTGTTCCACTAATGTTTTCTCACCAGATGTCTTTTATTCTGGCCTTTTGAAGAGGACAGAGCCAAATGAGGTGTGTATATGATGCCAGTAGGCTGAGGTTGAAGGTAGGAACTTCATCTGTTCCAATAGAGAGAGAGAGTCTCCTGAATCAGGATTCAGCTTCATGGCTGTAAAGCTGGGTTTTTTTGTGGAATAGAGCCCTAATTGTGCATAATGAAATTTCTTGTTTTATACATTTCAATTTTATCAAGTCACCGTCAAATAGTAACAAAGCCATGATAGACCGGTATAATCATATTTAATAGAAGACATAGTATGTACTGGTCCAAATAAGTTGCCTTGTAAGAACAAAAGTTGGAAGTGCTTTTCCTCCTATGTAGTGATTGCTTCAGAAGTTATGCCTTCCAAAGATCTCGTAAAACCAGTGTATCAAAACCGAATGTACACATAACTTTTAAATGTATTTAAAATTGTGTAGAAAACATCTTTAATGTTATGTTATTTGTGGTACTTATTTAAGAGAGACTAGGGTTGGATTAGCATTATGTAAAGTACGGGAGATTGCAATGCACCTTCATGCCAATAAAATGTAATTTAACTGTCCCAAATATTGTTGAGCATTCAGCAAGAAAAAACTGTTGTCCAACTGAAGTTTCATGCTGCGATTTTCTTTTTTGTTACATAGGTACTAATTTGTAATTTTTAATTAAAAGGGCAGTATATAGCTCTATAAATTTTTTATTCAGTAGTGTATCTTATAGATACAGACCTAAGGCACGAACACAATAGCTGTTTAAATGGTGTTTTATGTTTGACGGGGAAAGGTAAAATGTTATAAGGATATAATACTGTATACATTTTGTATATCATTAAATCTTTAAAGAATCTAAAATAAATTTATTCTTGTTTACAGACTTCTGCTGTCCGTCTTAGTCTGAAAGGTTATTTGGGTGAATTTAAGTAACTCTTTATGTGGAAAAGTAGAATTTGCCGTGCTGGATCAAAGCAGTTGTCTGCCTTTGAGGTATCTCAACTTTGGCTAACACCAGAAAGTAGAGGGGCGGGGGGAAGTGAAAACTCTCATAGTAGACAAACGTATGTGATGGGGTTAGTGGGTAAATGAGAGAAAAACATCTTGAAGTTCTTTACAATGTTTGTTTTGAGTTAGGGGGTGCTTCGTGGATGCCTGACTGCATCCCCTTCTGTTGCTGTGAGGTAATGGACAGTTATTCAAGATGTACTTACACCTTTTTAATGTTATATTCTTAGCCAAGTAACAGCAACAGTTAATCTGTAAGGTGAGGCTGCCTCTTCAAGCTGGGAAGGATTTCTAGAGGAGCCTCAGGTGTTGTGAAAATGTGACCAAATTCAGTGTATGAAATAGGAAAACGGCTTTGGGAAAATTGTAAGTAAAAGTTTGGAAACTTTTTGTTTCCTGACAAATACTTAACGACACACGGTTTTTACAACCATGATACCTGTCTTCAGTAGTTTTACCTGTGACTCATTTCTTAACAAAATAAACAGGTGACTTTTGTGTGATGGGTGTGTGTGATAGTGGGGAGTGCTCCTTCTGCTCAGTGTCGCAGTAGTAGGGCCTGAAGCCTTTCCAAGACCAAAAGGTACAAATAAGGTTGGGGAATGCATGTAAGACTTGGAGTGGTTAACACTGTACGTATTTCTGTACATATTCGTGGCATGAGTGCTAGCTTACTCTGAGACTTAAAGCTAGAATTATGAGAGAAGCCTATGTCTAAATTGAGCAGGGGGAAAATGATAACTTTCACAAATTCTCTCCTCCACGCTAGCAGAAAAAAAAATCGTAAATGTAAATATCCTTCAGGGAAGGCATTGGAAAGGTGTGGTGGCAAAGAACAAAAAAAAAAAAGTTGGTTTGAAGAAGTAGCCTGACCTTGTTAGGATAATACCATGTCCTATTAATGTTAGGCTGTAGGAACATGAAGATTACCCCATGTAATTTAATTTGGTTGAGAAAATCAAGTGTCACTCCTCTGCTGAAATCTCATCACTCTTGAAGTGCTCTATGAATAGAGAAGAGTTGTGATCCTTTAGCTTTTAAATTTCCTTTAGATTACTGAAGAGGAGGAAAGTAGAAGCAGCACTGGAACTTCTGTTAACTCTCCAAAACCAAAATATCAGCATATCTTGTTAGAGCCTAGTTTTTAAATACAGGAATACTAATTCAAACCTTCTCTAATTATTTTTAGCAAAAATCTGAAATGCTTCAGTGACTTTCCTACTAAAAGGGTATTTAAAGAATACCTCTCATATAGGGAAATAGGTGAACTACATTATTTTCCTTGATAGATTCCCTACCACCATCCTCAGGATATTTTCATTAGAAGAAAAACCATTGAATAACAGATGAAACTGAACATTATGTACTTGTAAACTAGTATTGGTTGCTCACGTAACTTCTGTTTTAAAATGTACTTTAATTTCCTCCAGCATCAATATTTCTTTATGCAAAAACCTCAAATATATGAGTGCGCTAATTTAATCTTTCAATCAATCCAGCAAATTCAGCATAGTTGACTGCTTTCTTGCAGTATTTAGGTGCTGAAACATTTCAGAGAAAACCAATCCCAAATACATTGTGGCAAAATACACAAAGGTAAGTCTCCTGGGGAACTGGTTTCCTAGCTGCTGCTCAGCAGCCATGTGATTCGGAAAAGGAGGGGTTTGGCTTTTAAGGCTGTGGCACTGATTTCCTTCACTTTCATTCTTTGTGGTTGCGTCTCACTTCGTGCCACAACACTTAACACTGCAAGAATTTGGAGGGGGGAAAAGACTACACCTGGAAACTTGGTAGTAACAGTTCATGTTGAATGTTCTTAAAAGATCAATTGGAAAAAAAACCTTTTTTTTTTAAATATAACAGTGCTTCTGAAAAGACTTCTGATGATTTAATCTTTCTTTTTACAATTAACACTCTTCCTTGCAAGTAATCCATTTTGTGGTGAGAGTAATGGTAAGTTAATTCTCAGCCCTGAGCTTGCAGTAGGTAGCACTGATGTGGATTTGTGTATCATGTTACGTTAAAATAGTAAATCAAAGTCTTGATTCGGATTCCACAAAAAGTAGGAATAAGCATATTTAGGTTACTACCTAAAGTAGGAATAAGCTTTGCCTTCTTGAATGATGAACGTTAGCATTGCTGATTTTACTACTAGGAGTAAAATGCAGCTATATGGATTTATAGTCTTTTTAAAATAATTATTTCAGTGATTTATAGTTTTCAATACAAATTTTGTTCTACCTGTATGACAGCTATTATAGATTGAATTTAATTTATTGTTTCCCAATAATGGTTTCAAAAAGTGCTTTTTAGTGCTGCCATCAGCCTGCATATGACCATAGTACTTGCTTTTCAATATGTTTCTTCAAGTTACCTTCCTTCTTTTCTTTAACGTGTTCCTCTCTGTAGGAAGGCAAGGACTCTTACTTTTGGTAAGAACATTTTTAAGAATTAGTAGAAGATGAAACAGCCCTTGTTAATGCTGCCAACTGCTAAATAGATTGCAATATCATTGTTCCCTGTCCTGTATAAGAAAAATAACTTGGTTCCTTCCATCTACTGTTCTCAGTGTGTTTTACAACATATCTTACTTGGTGCTCTTGCTCTGAATAAATAGTTGGCTGTGCTCATGCTTGTCATTAATGGAGTGAAATCAAGATACGATTCCTTCATAACAGCTATGGTGGGGCCAGAACTTAAGCGCATCACATTACTCTAGAAAATACTGTGGTTGCGTGCACTAGCACATCACTGTAAACATAAAGCTTGTGAACAATTTATAGCTGCTAAGCCTATGGGGGTTGTAATTTATTTTTGTGCATTTGCTTTTTTTAGCGCAGATGATGAGAATATTTAGTGCAGTAACAGGAGCTTGCCAAGAAAATCAAGGTGCAAGTTCCTGGCGTGGATATTCCAGGTGAAGTGGGCAGAAAAGGTAAGACATGCCGGAGGTATAGGGCTAATTACTGTTTCATTAGTTATAATGAAATATATCTCAGTATTATTTAACCATGTAGAGTGGTGAAGATTTGTCAGCATGTCTTGTTGCACTACACCAGAAGCTAATAAAAAAAAAAAATAAAAAAAAAAATTCAGGCATTCCATGTTTGTGCCATGCTGCTGTATTACTGGTTTTGTGCTAAGTATGAGATACAGACAGTGATATAAGGAGTAGTAGAAGTGGAAACTGAGCCCCAACAATTGCAGAGGGGTGTTGCAGAGCAGGAAGAGGAGGATTAGGACAAATTGCTTTTTGAACAGTACCTGAAAAACTTTCCTGCAGGGAGCTTTGAAGTCAAGAAAAATGGCAAGCTGGTTATTTTCTGAGACTGAAACTTCAAGCTTACCCTTTTCAGAAGATGTGAGTAATGACCATTGCAACCTTCTCTCACCTTGTTTCCACAAAAATGCAATTAACTACTAACAAAAGCTGCTCTTGGAAGGTAACACTAGGCGGAAGGAAGCTTCCTCGTCCCTCACACCCGTGCTGCAACTGAGCAGGTGTGTTGCAGAAATTTGCTAGAATTTTGTTTCATTGAGTCAGATGTTTGTGGTCATTCCTCAGCCTCTGCCATGGCCTTAGCTCAGCCTTTCCCTAAGCTTGTGTGAAACATCTGACTTCCTCCATCCCACATGAGTATCAGTCAGTATGTCCTTCTGTTAAGGTAGAAAATACAGTATTTGTTCGAAGTAAGACTTAGTAACCAATATCATCTGGCTCCTGTTCCACTTACGTGTGGAGACTGGGTGAGGGACATCCCCTGAGCCCGAAGAGGCGGTGGGCAGGGAGCAGCAGCGTAGAGCAGGAACCGGGATGCGGCTCTGTGAATCAAATCTGCCAGTTGTGAGAGAGACCAGGGGTGGGAAAGACATGCCATGAGCAACTAGGAACATGGATAGACGAGTACTGGAAACACCTATGTCATTCACCAGTGACAAAAATGGTTCATGGGAAGACAGAAGAATAAAACCAATTTATGTTATTGGTTATCTTTCTTTGAAGGGATATTTATAACTGCATGACAGGTAGGCTGGTGACCCAGAGCCAGAAAGCCTTGTTAGCCTTTATTACCCCAACAAAATGTGAAGGTATACAACCTATCATCAAAATATTACAGTTCTGATTTTGACTTTTCTTGGTTTGTTTTTTGAGACTGGAAAAGCTGCTAAAATGAAGGATAAAGGAGCCACTGAGAAAAATCACACAAAGCATCAAAAATTCATTAACCGGGAGAAGAATGCAAGAGCTGCTGGCAGTGTACCCTGTGTTCCTAACTAGGCACGGATACTTACCATGACTGTTTTTGTCAAAAAGAAGATAAAATCAGGAAAATATGGGGAGTCATCCCATTGAATACAGTTTATCTAAGTGGCTAAATTCCAATAAAGTAAAAAGAATTCCTTACTGTTCTTGTCCTTTCTTGATATTTTCTCCAATGTTGCAACTGTCCTAATTCCCATTTGAATTTTATTTCTGTATTAGTGTACATCATTAGAAGTTAATTTATACTTTTTTTTTTTCCCCAAAGGGCTACAGGAATAAGCAAGGGCCCTTGGAATCACAGAAACGTTGGAGATGAGAATGAAGGCTCCATGAAAACAGCCTTTCAGAGAACTTACAGAAGTCTTATACTTCAATCTATACCTGCACAGAGATAAGAATAAGAGTGCATAAATACTCTGCATGTGTCCTGGAAATGTCTGGTGTATTTCAATTACCCAAAGCAAAACAAGTCAACAGCAGTTGGTCCGCAGCAGGCCTTTTGATAAATCTGCAACATGTACTTGTCTCTGCATTTTACCTGTAGCCCTTTGACAAAGTACCTCCATCTAGGTACCAACAATCACAGCCCCATGGGGGAAAACACATTGCATTTCAATCTCATATTTTGCATATTTGAACTGAATAAATTTGCAGAAAGGGACAGGATTGAATTCCTGGCTAGCTGAGATTTGTCAACAAAACTTAAACAAATATTTCAGGGTGGGAACAAAAACCCTGTGAATATACTTACATATTGGTACATATTCAGGCATTTGTACATATTTGTTTTAGGTTTAACCTATGGGATTATAATTTAGGTTTTAAAACATTTGAAACCCTTGGTAAAGTATGTACAATGTTACAGTTCCATTTACAAAAATGTATATCAGATTTTGAATAGTAGGGGTGGATGGGTGTGTTGCTTCTATATCTCAGTTTGCAGATACACAGATTCGGAGATTAATAGCAGTGACAGCAGGTAAGCTGTTCAAAGAGTGCTGGGAGACATCCTTTGCTTGAAGTTTAACAAGTAAGATCATTAGGGATTTTTTTAATGGCTTCCTGGGCCTCTTCTGTGGATATTTGTTACTTCCCAAATTGTATGTTAAATAGGGATAAC